AATGTCCCTTTAAAATTGCATGAAAGTAATTTTTCATATAGTATCTCAGATACCTCAATTGGTCTGGGATTGTAATGTATGTATGATTATTCTTTTTGTCTCCATTCTTACGAACCAATATAGGCAATGGCACAGTAGAGTAAATTGGTTGATACTGATTGTATTTTCATCATAAAATTTGTCTGGGCCTCTTGGAGACACACTGAAATCTGCCAAGATTTTTTGCATGTGTTTTCCTTGTAATCACACATTGAATGTAACATCTGATTGATATTGAGTTGTCCTTTTCAGAGAGGACTAAAATTTCAATCCCAAAAGAATTTCCTGTAGAGGCAAAAATACCCATAAAGTTTTAAAGAGAAGATATATTAGTTGGTCTTCTTTCAAAGGAACTTTCCCTGAATTAAAAAAAAACAACAACAACTATGTAAGTAATAAAGTACTGAAAAAATAGGATATCAAATGTCTCTTCTCTCTGATTTCACCAAACATTCACTTCATTATATTTTATTCTTAATTTTTTAAAATTTATTTATTAAAATATTTGAATTAGTTTATATAACATCTGCACACATTTCTTTTGTGGTTTTTTGATGTATGTAATCAGCACATACAGAACTGATTTTTTAAAAAACCTGGAGTGTAGAGGTTTTGGGGGAGCCAAACTGAACAGAGCAATTAACTTCAATTGTTGGTGTTCCCAAAAGCTGTCATGTCAGTGTAATATTATTTTCTACAAACCCTATCAAATTTTGCTAAACCATAAAATGATTTAATAGAATAAGCCATTATTTGCAATTGCATTTATTTTAGTACAAAAGGAAGAATTAGAAGAACTAGTACCTGGAAGCACAATGTCCATTTCCATTTAAAATTCTACTATGAAAAAAATCTGACTTAAACCCCGAAAGTGATTTCATAAGTTCTGAAGTCTAAAGTGATTTTGCTTTATCTTTTTTCTAACAGAAATATCTTAAACATGTTCTTTAGCATCCGCAACAGTTATGTGAGGTCTCCATTAATGTTCATGGCAGAGTGTCTCTCTGCAAAGATTGGAATATTTGTGTAACCAATAACCTTCAACAATTGCTTCAGAAGTAGATTATGGTCCATTATGGAACAATAATCATTGCCAATATATATATGTAACAAAAGCTTTTTAAGCTCGCGCCAGGACCCCAAGGAACAGGATCAAACACAATCTCATTATAAGCATAGGTTTGTAAGATCATGACTATGTTATTCATTAAAACAGACAAGCAAGTCTGTGAATAACCTACTAAGAGAGAGAAAGAGAGGAAGCTTGGTGAAAAAAATTCCAACTTCTTCCTGATTCTATCAACCTAGTTTCCAAACAAAAAAAAACAAAAACTCAAGGAGTTTCTTTTTACACTCCATAAGTTCTGGATAAGATGTATTTGGGGGCGGGGGGGGTAATTTTTCTGAACTTCTGATACTTAAAGTAACATTTTTTTGACCAAAGTAAAATCTGGGCCTTTGCAATTTTATTTCTCAGCAATTATTCTGTTGGTTTAAAACTTCACCCTTTCTCACTCACCTGTAGATATCTATTTCACCCATATCTTTTGCCGTTTCCTTTTCTTATTATACCATAAAAAGCATTCTATGAAAAACATAAATAGGAGAAAGGGCTCAATTTCATTTAGAATACCTTTCTCAATATGGGCTTTCCAGATATAGTATATCAAGCATCCATATATTCGTTAAGCTTTCATAAAACCTATGCATTGGGTATTTACAAATTCAATACAACTCAACAGCTTCAGGGTTAAAGAAAGCTGAAATGCACCTGTTTCAAAAGCACTATGATTCCCTCCCTCCCCGGTTCTAATAACAAGGCCTTGAATTTTCCTAAATCCTATAAAAACTGTCATGAACCCTAAATTTTATCATAAAATCTGACAAAAACAAATCAATTCCAAACATTGTTTAGAGAAAACTTCAGTAACAAAAAACATTGTTTCATATGAAAGGTATAAGAAATTCCATCATGTAACTATTATGAGTGACAATACAGTTAAGTAGAAAAAAGTAGTTACTATTCCTGTGATGCTTTGAGCTCTGAAGTAATATTCCACGGTGCTAGCTTACTTTGTTTTGTTTCCAAAGCAATACAATGGCATTTTAATTAAGATGTAGTTGCCATGCGGATATTGTTAAACTATTAAAGCAGCTAAATGTTTAATTATCATTGAGTATTAATGAACAACCTTGCCTTTTCATCTTTTATGAACATCTTTTAAAGTCAAGGCCAATTTCAGTGCTTCATATCTTATAGAGTAAAATATTAATATACAATAAATGCTCTTGGGAAATCTATAAGCTTTGTATTAGAGAAACTGCCAGTTTGTAACAGAATAAAAAGCAAATTTTAGTCTAGAGACAAATCCAAATCAAATGATTAAATAGAGATACCAGAAAAGACATAACATTAAGTGTATTGCTACAACTTTATAAATGTAATGAAGAACATTTTAATTGATCCCAGTGATTGGTTGGGATCTGCAAAATAATTTATAAAATCAATGTTATGTATGTTGACAATCAACAAACAAGCATTAAAATAAGCAATTACATTCACTGCTTGAAACATGAATGTAAAGCAAAGAGCAAAAATACAAAGGCCTTTAAATGCTGTGCAAAGAAACAATTCAAATTCTTTCTGCCACATACAGGAACTGGTATAGGATATCTTCTTCAGGATTCCTTTTATCACAAAAAGCAATCCTGAACAATAATTTCCCAAAGATTAATATTGTATCTGCATATGCTGCAATAGCTTTTATTATCATATCTGCATAATATGCTGTAATAGCTTTTTTTTTAAAAAAAAAAAGCATAATTATAAACAGTTAAAGTACAGAGCAAAATTCTTTGCTGTAATACTGTATGGTAAAAAATTTGCAATAGTAAGACTTCCAAGGCAGGTGAGGGAACAAAATTATTTTCTACATACAGATATGTTTATATACATGAGATGGTTGCAGTCAACCATCCTCAACTTCTGATTTCATAAAGAACAAGGCCTGAGTTCAAGAAGAAGTTAATTGCCATGATAGAAACTTAATAGCAATTAAAACAGTCCCACTGGCTGCACATTAGCCTTTCAAATAGACTCATTTGGTTTAGTTAAAACATTTAGTCTTAGTTAAAAGATTTACTTTTACTTAAAGTAAATTTGGGGCATGTTGTTAAAACAATCACGGTTTAATCCAAGGTTTCTCAAGTGTTATTAACTTGATCTCTTCCTCCTTCCTTTTCAAATTACCTCCCTGACACCACCCTACTACAGCATCAAATTATCTGCTGTAGATGTTCACATACTATTATTGGCACGCATGCATGAACTACAGATTAGGAATATAATCTGACCATTATACCAGAGGGGGAACTGAGCCCAATGAGAAGAGGAACAAAATATTTTTGTCTTCCTCTTTCAAATGTATGGATATAGATATAGAGATGAACATTCTAATGTATGTCGGCTGATTGTATTGATGATAGTCATCTTACAGCTCCAGTATAGACCAGACACTCTACCATTGAGCTTCAATCTCTCCATATATACTTTATGTGCAGAGAGAAGGGTCCACCTGCTTGTTATGTTGCACAGCCTCCAAAAACAGTAGCCCTGCATTTGAACACACAATAAAATCTATCCTATAGGAACGGAAGGGAAGCATATCTTTTTTTACAAACAGATCCAGCTCTTACACGTAAGAACATATTCTACAGCAAACAAAACCCATGCACAAGTGAAGACTACTGTTAAACTAAACATAAAAGCTGAATACGTGTAAGGAGGGAATAAATCCCACTATCTTCCCTGTTTATACACAGAAGAATATAAACAAACCACACAGCTTTTACTACCGGTAGTACTATCACACATAACCAGCCTATTCAACTTTACCTGCCTTGTTTTCCTTTATTTACGTAACATAACATTTTTTTTGCAAAAGAGGAGTAACAGGAATGTAGAAGTTAGCAAGCTTCTCCATAGTAAAAAAAAAAAAAAAAAAAAAACCTGACAAGCAATACAATACTAATGTTCAACCAAAACCAACACAACCTATTTGCTCTATTGCTTTATCATTTAGTTGATTCCCAGGAAATTGGACTCAGGGCAATTAAGATTCATAAGCTAAATGCTTTTAAAATTGTATCTGAGGGAAAGTCAAATCTAAATTAGATCAATCCAGGCTTTTAGACGTTCAGCTAGTAGCCTTTGGAGCAAGTGCATTGCTATACAGAAAACATCTCCTCTTACACATTCTTTCCAAAACAGGGACAGGCATATTCTTAAGCAGAATCCCTATAATAAAAATCTATTTGGCTATTCTAAAATCTAGAAAGCTATTTTGTCCAGTTCACCAAAGCAGATTGAAAATGTTTGGGTAATAACTGAAAGACTTGATGAAGGGGTAGCAAATGGATTGTGGTGTTTAAAAGCAAACCTCCAGTTAAAAGCGTTTCAGAAGGTTCTCTGTGTATTTTTTTTTTCCTCCAGACAGTGGACTGTCATGCAGGATCCTTTCCTGGAGTACCTTAAAAGATCCATAAAATGGTGTAGGCATCCAGCGCCACAATGGGAGACATAAAAAGCAGATAAGAAGAGGTATGCTTCATCTCAGTCCTCATTTTATGTCCTCCTTAAGGAAGGTAGCGCTTTTTTCCAAAGAGCACACAAGATGCTCTTAAACATCCAAGAGGCACCCGGCAAGAAGATGTATATCTGAACAAATCAAATTGCACATACAATACATTAATGCTTAGCATACACACATACATGTATGTATGTATGAGCCTTGTTTAAATTAATAAGAGGGAATCAAATTTCGCTATATTGAAGGCGACGCTACTAAAAGCAAACCCCCCAAAACTTAACCTTCCGGCCGATCGTCGCTCGCTACCCCCGTTACTTTTCCCTCCCGTTCCCCCCGGCCCCCAACCCCAGACGCCGCTCAGGCAGCACTCACATGTCGGTGATTTTCTCCCGCTCGCTCCTCTTGCCGAGCACGGGGAAGGACACGAGGCTGGCGGCGGCTTCGCTGCACCAGATCCGCTCGGGACTGCAGGCGCACGAGGTGGGGCAAGCGGAGGCGAGCAGCCCCCGCCAAGCGCCCAGCATCAGCCAACACAAGCTCCAGAAGCCGGTCGCCGTCGCCCGGGGCGAACCCTGAAGCCGCCGCTGCCGCCACCGCCAACACCACCATGCCCTTGGCGAGGCCCCCATGGCACCGCCGCCGCCGCAGCTCCTCGGTGGCTCTTCTTCCCGCCGGCCAAGCGCGATCAATCCAGCTCGGCTGCCGGGACACCGAGCCGTCAGTCACTCGAGCATCCTTTCCCTCTCCCGTCCGGGGGCAGCCGCTCTTTCTGCCTTCCCTCGGAAGGCGGCAACTTCTGGGCTTCGGTCAGGCGGCCAAATCTCTCCCGGCTCCCCTCAGAGAGCGTCCGAGGACCAAGCCTGAGGGGGAGGGAAAAAGAGAGAGAGAGAGAGAGAGATGCCCTGTGAGGGGCAGCCGGCGCCTCCTTTGCTTCCCTTCGCCGACTCCGAGCGGCTTCCCGCCCCGCGAGCAGGGGGCGCCAGCGGCGCGCGCAGAGCCGGGCTACGCTGCCCGAGCGGAGAAGCGACCCGGGATAGCGATAATTAGAGCCTAGCGCAGCCCCTCCTCCTCCTCCTCCTCGGCCAGGTGGCCGCTGCCCCTACCTAGGCGGCCGAGCCTCGGCCAAAGCTGCAGTGCCGCCGCCACCCAGCTCCGTTGTTCCTGCCCGGTTCCCGCTCGCCGCTCCCGGCGCAAGGCTGGGAAAAAAAGGAGGAGGGGGCGGTGGGGGCGTCGTCGCTTCTTTTCTCTCCCCCCCCCACCCCAGACACACACAACAGACACACACGCACAGGCGCTGTCAGCCGGCCGCCGCCTCCCGGTCCACGCGCTTGCTGATAATAAAGCGCCCCGGTTCCTGCTGCAGCCCCAAACCGAGGGAGCTGTCACCGGCGAAGTGACGTTGGGCTGCTGACGCAAGGAGGGGTAGAAAAAAATCCCCCCAAAAAGCCGGATTCTTTTTTTGAAGGAGGTGGGGGGGGGGAGAGGAGAGGAGAGAAAGAGGAGGGGAAAAGAGGTGTGGGCAACGAGATACCAATAGTCAGGCAGAGAGTCTGGATACAACACACACAACACGCGCGCACGCGTGAGGATGAGCGAGACAGTCCGTCGCCCTGGGCAAAAAAACCTCGAAGCGTCTCTCTCTCCTTCTCCTTCTCTCTCCCCCTTTCCTTCTCTCTCTCCTTCTCTTTCTCTCCCACACTCCCTTTCTCTCTCTCTCCTTCTCTTTCTCTCCCACACTCCCTTTCTCTCTCTCCCTTTCCTTTTCTCTCTCTCCTTCTCTTTCTCTCCCCCACTCCCTTTCTCTCTCTCTCCTTCTCTTTCTCTCCCACACTCCCTTTCTCTCTCTCCCTTTCCTTTTCTCTCTCTCCTTCTCTTTCTCTCCCCCACTCCCTTTCTCTCTCTCCCTTTCCTTCTCTCTCTCCTTCTCTTTCCTTCTCTTTCCCTCAGCCCCTCCCCCCCCTCTCTCCCTTCTCTCTCCCTTTCCTTCTCTCCCTCTCCCTGTCTCTCCCTCTTTCTCTCTCCTTTTCTTCCTCTTTCTCACCTCTCTCTCCTTCTCTCTCCCTTTCCTTCTCTCTCTCAGTCTCTCTCTCTCCCCTCTTCCCCTCTTTCTCTCTCCCCTCTCCTTCTATTTCTCCCTTTCCTTCTCTCTCTCCCTCTCCCTCTTCTCTTTTCTCTTTTTAAAAATAAATGCTGCCGTTTCTCGCCGCCGCGCAAACCCAAGCACGGGCACTAGCAGCTGCGCCTTCTCCCTTCCAAAACACGCCGGGACGTGATCTGAATAACACCCGGCTTGACCTGCTATTGAAACGCCTCCCGGCTCTTTCCCGAAGGGAGGGTGGCTCTTCACTACGTTTCGCCGCCTTCCGCAGTGCAAGGGACGGCGGGCGAGTCCCGCTTTTCGCTTCCGACGCGCTCGCCGCTCGCCAGTTGCAGCAACGGGGGACTGCTGCGGGTCCTTCGAGGCGGCCTGCGGGCTTTCCCGGGCTAGGAAAGGATGAAGCCCGGGATCGTCGGTGCTGACATTGTAACCCTGTTAAGAACCCGGGAGATGGGTGGAAATCCAACATTCCTTCCAGCTTGCCTGCCTGCCTGCCTGCCTGCCTGCCTGGTGATCGGACTAGTCAGCTTTCTCCGCTGAAACACACGCGCTTGCATGTCACATGTATGCATGCAATATGTACACACCGGTGAATCTGGAGACAAGCGACATATATATCTTCCGCCATGAAAATGGATGGATGGATGGATAGCTAGACAGACAGACGATAGCTACCTAGCTAGATAGATGATAGCTAGATAGCTAGATAGATAAATAGATGATAGATAGACAGACAGATAGATAGATGATAGATAGATAAATAGATGATAGATAGATAGATAGATAGATAGATAGATAGATAGATAGATAGATAGATAGATAGATAGATATCCATACATGCACTAATAGAGAATATATTCTTCTTCAAGCATCTTGAATACCCTGGCACGTGTGATGGATGGCAGGCATGAAAACAAATTGTCGCGGAATCTGTCTTTTCATTAGCGGTTGCTCCTTTCCCCCCCCCCCCCTCTTTCCGCAGTAATTTAAAAAGAAGCAGGAAAAATGCACCGCAGTGTCTTCAGCCAGGAGCGAGGTCTGGCGCCACCCCGTGCCTGAAATGTGAACTACTCGTCGGAACGAAAAACAATCTCATGCGCGTTTTAGGAAGATAAATGTCAGGTGGAGGTGGACACGGAAAAAACTGCGAGCGCTTTGCTTCAGTTTGCCATTTCTTCCCCGGAACTCAAGATAGCATGTCCTCTCCGTGTATACTGATAAGACACTGCAACAAAGTATTTTACTCCCTGAATTGCTCTCTGATCTTGATTTAACGCATTTCTTCAAGGACATTATTTCAGTGGTAAGATTCACTTTCAGTGCTGGGAAAATTGAATTTTCCAGTTCCTGGAGTAGCTTCTATGCTTTTTTGACACCCACCATCACGACAGAAAATAGAAGGGGCTCAAATGAGGTATTTTGGGCAATCCCAGTTACATACACAATGGATATTTATTTCCACTGTGAGTATAAACTTCTAGAAAAGCCTAGTCTCTATAATTTATCAGTATACCAATAGAGGAAATAAAATAAATAAATCCCTTGGTGTGTTGCCTCCCTCACTGAGTTCATTCATAAATTTTTTTCAGAATAAAAGAGCATACTGCAGAATGAATTTCAACAGTACCTTAATTATATTTTATTTATATCCTGCCTTTTATTATTTTTATAAATAACTCAAGGCAGGGAAATACCTGATACCCCTGCTGCCTCCTATTTTCCCCACAACAACAATGCTGTGAGTGGAGTGTGGCTCAGAGAGTAATTGGCCGAAGATCACTCAACTGGCTTTCATGTCTAAGGCAGCACTAGAACTCACAAGTCTCCTGGTTTCTAGCCTGGTACCTTACCACTAGACCAAACTGGGTCTCCATGAGTCCATTATGAGTTGTAATAGACTACCCAAAAAAAAATCAAATGGCAAATTGCTACAACTGTTTGAAATGTGCCCAATTACCCCTAATCGTTTTGGATCTGACTTTGGTTTTCAGAATGGAAACTTGCAATGATACAGAACATGGTGATGGGGAATAACACCCCCACATCACTTTCTGATAAATAGGTCTTTTGTAATTAACCAAGTTCATTATGGTGGCCATTTTGTGAAAGTGTTGTAGCAAGCTTTGGGAGGTACCCTTTTGTACAAATTTTAGTTATTCTTGTATTGTATTGGCTTTAGAAAACTATTCAACTCCCAAATGAGGATATCCAAATGTGGATTGTGCAAGCATCTTACGTAATCGAAAGATGGAAAACAATTAAAAAGAAAATAACATGTGTCCAAATAAAACTCACCTTGTGTTACAAAATATCTTTCAGGAGATCCACAATGAACCTAATCTAGGTACCAGAGAGCACCGCCACATTTTCAAGGCCTTGTGAAACTCTTGTAGGATTTTTTAAATGTCCGGATGGGATGGTATTCCAGAGGGCAGGTGCTACAACAAAAAAATTGTGTTACCAAAGTGGCATTCACTGATGTCTAGGTTGTATTTCGAACAGCGCCTTGCAGAAAACTAAGAACTATTGGAACTTGCAAAGCACTTGGGACACGTGGGTGTACCGAGATGCACTCATTGCTTCCTGTTCTGCTGCATTTTGGACCAGCCTGTAGCATCCAGGTGATGATCAAGGGCAGCCTCAAGCAGAAAGAATTTCAGTAGTCTGACCATGAGGTGACAAAAGCATGCATGAGCATCTGAAGGGCCTCCCATTCTAGAAATGGGTGCAACTGGTATACAAGATGAACCTTTGCAAAGGTCCTCATGGCCACTGCCTCTTCAAGCTGTTAGTTCAGGATGAGGCTAGAAGTTGTTGTTGTTGCTAAATTTATTTGCTATCCATCTTGGTTCGCAGTGAATAAAAGAGACTTTTAAAAGATAAAAAAGGGAATATCTGTCTCATTAGCCCACAGCCTTCATTAACTTCAGGCTCTCAAGAACTCTACATGCTTGCCTGAAAAGGAGTTTTGGAAACAAAACAATCTTAATATCAGAAAGACTTATTCCCTTCAGACTCCTGATCTACACTGCTTAAGAATTACACATTTTCTCATTACTGTATATGATAAGTTATGGTGGCCTCTACTGGACAACACCTAGATTTGTTCAGTTTAACTACAACAGCATCAGAAAGTGAAGATTATAGTCAGGGGTAAGTTAGTAAATGTTTAATAACCAATTCTGCTATTAAACAGCTGATCGATGTACTAGGCATCATGATTCAGTTCTATTCTCAGTGGGCTTGCTAACTTCCAGAATTTAACAATTGCCAATTTAACAAACAGCTATTGCTAACCAATACAAGCTGGTGCCCACACACTACTGGTTACAGTTACTATCAATGGAGGATTTTAAAGTTTTCTTTGTAATATGTTATTTGACTCGAAGGGCATAGGCAACAATATGCCTGCATAAAAATGACTAAGCATATTGATTGAACATATACATACTATGCGCAGAATTTCTAACATACTGATCCTCATTGTCAAGAATTACATCCACAAGATCAATGTTACTTTGTCAAAATAATAATCTAATAGGAAATGAAGGAACATTCCCAAAATTGAAGTAATGTGGGCTATAGCAGATAAACATTGCCTATTAATGACGATGCTGCTTAATTATACTTCTGCACAGAATATTATCAGTTCTGTTCAGTAGCAGGATGAGCTCATATAGTGAAAAGTCAGACGTTTCAAATTTTCTTCTTCAAAATCTTTCTGGTTTATCCTCTTATTTCCACCTCCTGCTGTCAGGTGCAAGAAATCAGGGGCTAGGATAGAGTTCAAAAGCACTGTGAATTTATTCCATGCAATCTATAATAATGATCTGATCCATTAATGATCAGGCCAGATAAGAGACAACGGACTTCAAGAGCAACTGGACTTAGGTCTCTTTCAGGAGCTTAGGGACTCCAGACTGATAATGTGTTTGACACACACACACACCCAGGCTCAGCCTGGTCATCTCCTACACCTGCCTTGGTATAGGAGCTTGGCAGTTTTTGCTTCTACCACCAACTTTCTTCCAGGAAGTTGCCTTTACTTAGCATCTTTGCGCATGAGACATTAGAAACCCACAGTCTGTGCATCTTACAAGTACAGTAAGTACAAGAAGCAAAGCTGAGAAAATGAGATACATTCTATCATCATTCAGGGCTCTGGATCATTAGAAAAAATGACTAGAGAAGTCACCTCCACCATCCTTTGGGAAACCAATTAATTTTACAAGAAATAGATAAAAATAATATTTAATAAAAAGGGGGAAAATAGCTCAAATAAAAGCATCTTAAAAGAACAGGAAAATACGAGGAAAAGAGAAAATGTTCATTCATGAAAGTGTGGTGGTGATTTCTTCCTGCTTTATAATGCAACACTGCTTTAAAGAAGATGTGTTGCATGGATAAAGCATGCAACGACTGAGCTTGTATACATACCAGTGGTGGGATTCATTTTTTTTTACTACCAGTTCTGTGGGTGTGGCATGGTGGACATGGCAGGGGAAGGTTACTGCAAATTAATTGGGAGGAAATCCCCATTTCCTCCCAATCAGCTGGGACTCAGGAGGCAGAGAATAGATGGGGGCGGGGCCAGTCAGTGGTGGTATTTACCGGTTCTCCGAATTACTCAAAATTTTCGCTACCGGTTCTCCAGAACTGCTCAGAACCTGCTGAATATCATACTCTGATACATACAATAAAATATTAACTACTGCATGTTAAGAAATCACAAAATTCTGTGAGCTGAAGTCCACAGGTCTTAAAATCTCCAAGGTTAGACACCCCTGCTTTAAAGAACAGATGTTACCTTTGTGCTTTTGTTACCTGGAAAAC